GCTGGTGCGCCAAGGATTTTTAGCATGGGGCATTCATTCAGCACTGGTTCATTGAAGGCTGACCCTGAACATGTGTATCCAGTCGTGTATCAACGCAGGACCATCCTCATGATGTTGAGTACCATGACGCGCTCGTGTGGCACAACAATGTCATGACACGATGGTGCGCCAAGAACATACACCACGGGGTCCTACTTCACAACCGATCCCTGAGACAGTGCAAGACCGTTCGGCCTCACCACGGGCGCCCTGGACTGGGGACGTTCGTTTCGGGGTGCTACAACGGCAAAACATTACATCTCATGGGTCGAAAAGGCAATTCGCCTGAGCTACAAACGCTGTCGTTCCACACCGGATGTTCGACAACTTGTGTGTTTGACCAGAAACAGCATGAGCTCTGATCTCGCCGATATACACCGTACGACATCACCAATCTCGTTGCGTGACCCTTGGATGCCACCGTCCCGTTCCACCGCGCACGGACACGTACCTTTTTCCTTACCGCGAAACGCCGTGTGTTCTTACATTCACAAGCAAGACCATCAGAAAAAAATGCATGCAGCAGGCTCCTCATTTCTTCTTCTTATTCAAGAGCAGAAGAGGTCGCGCACGCGTGGGCCCGGTTCGAGGGAGGAGGTAGGAGGGGGGCGGAGGGCGAAGGGAGGATTATCGCTTAGGACTTCTTGGATGTCTGCGAGTGGGCACGCTTGCCGCTTCCTGCTTGCGCTGCAACCTGTGTGCCCCTCGCGCCCTATATGGGCCCGCCCTCGTGCGAGCGGGGTGACTTGACCCGACTCGCTCCTTGCTCTGCCCTTCGCTCTGCACCTCCCCCTCGACAGGGGAAGTGCAAGAAGGGCGCCGAGTGCTGGTTCCGACACGCCGCCGGCCCAGAGAGGGCGGGGGGTGGGGGTGGGGCGGCCCCGGCCTCTCGGTCGGAGCGTGGGCGAGGTCGGGGCCGGAAGGGTCGGGGGGCTCGCGGAGTGGCCGCAGCCGCTCGGGCCTGGGCCAGCCTCCCTCCTCCTCCCTCCTCCTCCCTCCTCCTCCCTACTCCTCCCTACTCCCTCCTGCTCCCTCCTCCTCCCTCCTCCTCCCTCGGGGGCCTCCTGGGAGGCCCTCGTCGCCGCCGCTGGCCGCGCCTCGAAGCCTCCTGGGCAGAGCGCGCCCCGGGAGAGGTCCGGGGAGCAGCGGTACCGGCTTCTATCCTGGCGTCCCCAGGGATCGGGGGCGGAAAAGAGGGGGGTGATGACCGGGGGGGGGGGGTGGATCTCATGGCGGGGGCCACGAGATTTCCCCAGATTTCATGGCGCCTCTTCTTGTTTCGTTGCGTCCCTGGCCCCCCCGCTGGGCCGCGCACATGCCGCCGGTCATGATTTGCACCCCCTCCTCTTGGACACCCCCCTCTTGGCCGCTCCCGATGGTTCACAGCGGGCGATTTTGCCAGGGGCCACGCAGATCGATCGGGCTCGGAAAAGGAGGCAGCCAGATCGGGTGTAATTAGGGCTCTGGCTATGATTTTGAGCGATGTTTGATTCAATATTTGCTCCTGACGTCGGGATCTCAGGGAACGGGTGGGGGGTAGATTTTTCCAGAGCGTCCTGGAGCGCCGTGGAACGGTCGCGGCGCCGCCCCAGAAGTCTTCCGGAAGCGTCAGATGTCGGAGGTCCCGATGTGTCCCGGTCTGGCTTTGCCCCAGTCCCATCGGGGCGCTAAGGGACGGGGGTCCATGCAAACGGGGGTCAGCCAGGGCGCCGGATCTCACGGGATCCTGCAGAGCCAGGGGCGCATTGACCCGGGCCTGCGCGCAGGATCTCGCAGGATCCTGCAGGATCTTGCAGGATCCTGCAATGCCCGACGGGCCCGGGATTGCACTGGCGCGATCTTAGTTTCGTCTCGGTCGTCGAGGATCGAGAACGGAGGGTCGACGATGGAGGTGTTCGGACGGTTCTCGTCCGAGGCGTCTGTGGGCTGCCAGGGGCCTCTGGAGGCCTGGACCGAGCCGGGCGCTCCGCGCTCCAGGATTGGCCGTTCAGGCCTCAGATCCGTTGCAGCTTATGCCTGGTCTTCTGCGTCGTCGCTCGACGATCGAGGGTCGAGTTTGAGGAGGGTCGAGTTGTGGGAGGAGAAGGATGTGAAGGATGGAGGAGGGAGGAGGGGGGAGGTGGTGGTGGTGGAGGAGGTGGGAGGACGGTGGTGATCTGGGATTGTGTGAATGAGGGGGGTGGAGGAGGTGGTGGAGGAGCGAGGTGGAGGAAGAGGAAGAGACGGCGGAGGAGGAAGGGGGGGAGGAAGAGGAGGAGGACGGGGTGGAGGAAGTGGAGGATGAGGAGGGGGAAGAGGAGGAGGACGAGGAGGAGGAGGAGGGGGGAGGAAGAGCAGAGGAGGACGGGGTGGAGGAAGTGGAGGATGAGGAGGGGGAAGAGGAGGAGGACGAGGAGGAGGAGGAGGAGGAGGAGGAGGAGGAGGAAGAGGAAGTGGTGGAGGAGGAGGAGGAGGAAGAGGAGGAGGAGGAGGAGGTGGAGGCCCAGGGAGCTCCCAAGGCCGGCGGCGGCCTCCGGGCTGCAGGGCGTGTGAGTCAGAGGCATCGCTTTGGTCAGGCGATCGCAAACATGGATGAAGGGGGCGTGGATTAGCGACGGGTCCCGTTTCCATGGGAAATCGCGGAGTTCCGCCGCCGAGCGAGGCGGCACCGGCCGCATTTTGGGGAGGGCACCTCCACGATCCATGGATTTGGCGACCGCGCGCCAAATCCATGGATCGCTAATCCATGTTTGCGCGCCCCCGATAGGGGGCGGGGAAATGAGCGCAGGTGGGGGGCGCATGTGCCCCCGATCGTCGACTTCGGCGGCGAGCGAGGGGGGGAATCGAGAAGGAGGAGGCAAGCCTCAGAAGCTCCTCACGCCTTCTGAGGAGTGTTCTGCGTCTTCGGGGAAAGCTTAGACAACCATTCACGTCCGAGCCTTTCGAGAAGGCCTGCCCCCTCTCACCTCCCCCCCCAGGGCGCGCCGCCGATAGGGGGGAGTCTAGACTCAAGTGGGGGACGCATGCGCCCCCAATCGCCAATTGACCGCCCATCGTGGCCTGCTGGCCCAACTCGCCAGGGAACGTGCGGTTTCGCTATCGGTGGCCTGGCCTGTCAGCGATCCGTCGGCGATGTAGCGCCGATTCTAGTCCTCCCCTAATTCTCATCGTTGCCCCTCTGTGGAGGATATCGTATGTTGGCGACGTCCACGAGGGGGTTGGCGCAAGGGCGGTCGGCTTCTGAGGAGGCGGCGGGCTTACTGAGAACGCAGGGGCAGGGGCCTTCTTAGGAGGCGCCGGAGGCTTCCAAGAAGGCTTCTGAGAAGCCGGGCGGGCTTCTGCGAGAAGCCGCTGTGCCTTCTTGGGCGCCCCGCCGTCGTCTCAGAGGCGCGCCCCCCCCCCCCCCCCCCCCCCGTGGGTGCCGCCAGCCTGGCCATCTGAGTCCAGAGCTGCGCCGTCGCGGGGCAGGACACGTGAAGGCGGACGCTCTGCTGTCTTGGCCAGGTCGGCCTCTGGAGGCGGCCTCGTGTCGGGCCCCTTGGCGGGGGAGGCAGCGGGCAGCTTCGGGGCGACAGACCAGTCCTTGGGAAGGGGCCGGGGGTTCCAGCCACGGTTCTCAGAAATGCTGAGGGCGTCGACCTTCGGTTTGAAGATTCGCGTGGTCCTATAGTTGTGGACAAGTCGCCTTTCGGTTGCCCCGGATAGCCACACGCTGGAGCTGACTGCCCCGTTCCTAGCCGCCGACGAAGGGTTGTTATAGCTGTTAGGCACCGTTAGTGTCAAGCTCTCAGGTCTGGGATTGGCGCGTGGCTCACTTGCCAGTTTGCTCACGGTCGTCACTGTGTTTGAATGCCTCCTGAGCTCTCACCGTGCCGCCTGCCTGGCGCCCACTTTCTTGGGCACTGTCTTCTGACGCGTTTTGAGCGGAGAGTGGAACACGCTTGCGTGTGTGTGTGTGTGTGGATCAAGCAGTGGCGAAACGCCCTGGCTTGCCTATAGGCTCACCAACGAATGCTCGAAGAACTGTTCGTTGTTTCCACGAACTGTTCTCAGAACCTTTCTGGCAAGGACTGCCTTGTTTTGGCACGTCGGGTTGTGTTTCTGTTGTTGGAACATATTCGGGTTCTAAGAATATTTCGTGGTAGGCCTATAAGAATACCGGGACGGTCGGTCCCTGCTCAAGTGGAGAGCAAGGAACGTGGGAACGCTCCCAGCTTTTGTAATAACAACAGAGAATACCAGGGCGTCGGAAGCCAGTGGAAGAGGCGCATAGCCAGTGGAACACGCTTGTGTGTGTGGAGGGCGAGGAGCTCGGGAACGCTTCCAGCTTTTTCAAGAACAACAGAGAATACCAGGGCGTCGGAAGCCAGTGGAAGAAGCGCAGAGCTAGCAGGGCGAAGGATGATGCGGATGATGGTGGTGGTGGCGGATCTCGGGGCCATCACTGCTGGCCAACTCGGGGTGAGGCCCATATCTTGAATGCGTTTGAATCGGGGAAGGCGTCGTTGAGCGCAGGATCACAAACTAGAGGAGCGTGAGGAGGTGGAGATGGCGAAGTTGCAAGTAATTCGGCATGTCGCGCCAAGTCAAACATGAGGTCATGGTGTTCGCTGGACAATGCTCACGGACTTCTCCATGTTACCTGGGCGAAGGCAATCATATACCTGATGTGGTAGCATGGTTAGATTCCGAATGCACGAAACCGAGCCATAATAGCTTGCCCGAAATAGCCATGTGTTGACGAACGATGTGATCCTGCCAGCCAGTGCTCTGCCCTCGTGTTTCGCCCTTTGGGGGTTCCTGGTGGGCCCTCGTCGACGGCTGGTCGTCTCAGAATCCTGGACGGAACGCGTCATTGGTAAGATTGGGCGCCGCAGTATTCATGTGTCTCTTGTTGCCCCCAAGTGAAGCCCGGCTGTACGCCCACGGGGTCGGTGCGAGGGGGGCGGCCGTCTAATAAGGCGAGGGACTTCCTACCGCAGCCATCTTATGTTTGCAGCGCACGCGCGCGGGCCGCTTACACACAGCCGGCTGGGATTCCCGCCTCTTCGCACCTGTTTGTCTACTTGGCATCGCTCGGACGTGTGCATTTTCTTTCGGCGGGGACCATCGAGGAGCATCCTTGATCATTCAGCGAAAAAACCACGCATGAAACCGAAAAAAACACAGGGAATGGACGTCCGAGCGATGGCCAGTCATCGCAAGCTGTTGGGATGGCGGTGGCCTGCAGGGCAGCATTGACCACTCTCCTGGCGGCGGCGCTCACGCCCTCGACCCGCGCCCGCCTTCTCCGAGACAGGGAGCCCGACGGGAGCGGCGCCGTGGTGGGCGCGCGAGACGACGCCGACGCCGTCCGGAGGCAGATCGCGGAATCCCAGACGAGCCTCAAGGCCGAGGTCGGCGAGAAGGAGGTTTCCTACTACCTCGTCGCGACCGGATACTGGTGTGCTGGAGTCTCGTACAAGGGCTTTGGCGCCGGGTTCAGCTTACAGGACTGCGCCGCCGTCGCATTGTCGGATCAGGATTGTAACCAGATGGGCTTCCATTATTATTGAATCGCTTCGCTCATTCCGCCGGCCCGTGATATGGCATCGCTGGTTTTTGTCTGTGTGTTCGTTGCCCATGTTGCGCTCTTGGGGGCGGGTGTCGTTCGGACGCGTTGCGTGGGGAGTTTTGATGGTGAAGCAGTTCCCTGGGGGTCGTCTCTCGATGGGGCGAAATAGAGTCGTCGTCAAGATGCTTCTTTGGGGGGCCTCTTGGGGTCTGTTGAGAGGCCGTTCGGGGGCGCCTGGGAGACATGTTTGAAGCCTTCTGGGGCTTCTTTTGGGCCTCCTGGGAGTCTCCTGGGGCCTCTTGGCGACATCTTGGGGCCTCTTGAGGCCTCTTGGGGCCTCTTTGGGACCTCCTGGGCGCCTTCTGGGACGGAGGGCTCCATTTTTGAGTTCTCGGTATCCCTCCTGAGTCCCTCTTGGGCCCGTCTTGGGGCCTCTTGGTCCGTCTTGGGCGGCACTTGGGCCGTCTTGAGGGCTCTCTTGGGTCGTTTCGGCGCCGTCTTGGGAGCTTCGTGGGCCGTCTTGGAGCGGTCTTGGGGGCCTCTTGGGCCGTCTTGGAGCGTCCGGAAGCCGAAAAAGCCAGAACACAAAAAACATCGAAAAAACCAATGAAAATCAACGATTTTGGCCTCTTGGGGCTCTCTTCGGAGGCCTCTTGGAAGGCTCTTGGGGCGTCTTGGAGGCCTCTTGGGCTGTCTTGGGGGCCTTTTGGGCCGTCTTGGGGTCATCTTCGGCGTCTTCGAGCGCTCTTTGGGCGTCTCGGGGGCCTCTTGGGCAGTCTTGGGGGCCTCTTGGGGCACTCTGAGCGCGCTCTGGGGAGCCTGAGAGGCCGCACCCAGAAGGAAAACCATCTCTGAGTAGACTTGGTCGGGCGGCGGTCGGGCGGCGACCGGGCGTTGGTCGGGGTACTTTTCGCCGGGGGACCCCCAGGGGCCGCCCCGCGCGCGCGAACTAGAAATACTGTTAATACTGTTAACCAGTTACCGGAGATCTTAGCACGCCCTGGCCCGTTGGGCCGGCGAATTATACCAGACTCGGACTACAGGGGAGTTGCTGGTGCCCAAGAACGACAGATGTGGACACCTTGGGTGCATGCCCTACTGGAACCTCGGCAACAACGAATAACGACGGGGCCAATTGCCACATTTACCTGTACACGTCAACGCCAACACCGACCGTGGCACCAACACTGGCGCCGACGCTAGCGCCAACCCTGGCCCATTACTATCTCGTCGCGACTGGATACTGGTGTGCTGGAGTCTCGTACAAGGGGTTCGGCGCCGGGTTCAGCTTACAGGACTGCGCCGACGTCGTATTGTCGGATCAGGATTGTAATCAGATGGGCTTCCATTATTATTATACCAGACTCGGACTACAGGGGAGTTGTTGGTGCCCAAGAACGACAGATGTGGACACCTTGGGCGCATGCCCTACTGGAACTTCGGCAACAACGAATAACGACGGGGCCAATTGCCACATTTACCTGTACACGTCAACGCCAACACCGACTGTGACACCAACACCAGCGCCAACGCCGCTGGCGACTCCGCCGACCCCGGCGACGGCCACCGGCGATCCGCACCTGCAGAACATCTACGGTGAACGGTTCGACCTGATGACGCCGGGTAAGGTTACACTGGTCAACATCCCACGTGGTAGGCGCGTCGAGGAAGCGCTGCTTGCGGTAGAGGCAGACGCGCGTCGCCTCGGTGGACACTGTGCCGACACGTATTTCCAGGAAGTGAACATCACAGGGGTATGGGCGGACAAGCTGAAGGCCGGGGGTTTCACCTTCAAGGTCGATGGTGTTCAGGGACACAGGGTACCGAAATGGATGAATTTCGGGCCGCTGGAGGTCAAAGTCGTCCACGGGCGCACGGAGAAGGGGATGCAGTACTTGAACCTCTTCGTCAAGCACCTTGTGCATGCCGGCTTTTCGGTAGGAGGGCTACTGGGAGAAGATGATCACACGGATGTAGCGAGGATCCCAGCAGAATGCTTGACCACGATTTCGCTGCGTAAGCCGAGCCGGACCAGCGTGCAAGCTGAGTTGGTCTCGGTCGCGGTCGCCAGCTGAGTCCACCTCCCGTCCTCCATTCTTTCTCCATGCCTCCTCCCTTCCGTCTCCAACACCACTCCTGTTAAGTATTCGTATTTCCTTTTGCACGGCCAGAATGGGCCGAAGAGAAGAGAGAAGAGAGCGCTGCAGGGCCGCGTGAGGCGGAGAGACCAAGGGTTTGCTGTAAGAAGCAGCGAGGGAAAGAGGGCTTCGGAGGCACGGCGGGAGGGCTCGTGGATCGAAGGAGGGGAAAGAGAAGGAACGTCAGGATGAAGAAGCGCGGACAGGGAATTGAAAGGTTAAGGGGTAGGACAATGCGCGATAAGCGACAATTGGAACTTATCGCGTTGCACACGTCGGTGCAAGCAGGGGGGACAACTTTCGCTCAGTGTTCGAACGCTGTGTTGTGCATGACTGGGATGCTGCACGCTTCAGGATGTGGCCACAGCTTGCTAAAGCCTAAGCGCGCGCGAAGCGCGCGCGCCATCCTAGTTTGTGTGCTGTGCATATATATATATATGTATATATATATATATATATAAAAACGGGTGTATATATACCTATATATATATATATACATATATATATATATGTAGATATAAATGTGTATGTTTTTAACAGTGTGTTGACACACATACAACGGCGTAGGCGTTCTGGTGACTAACACCAGCTGCCCCGAACCTCCATGGTTGGACTGAGGCCTGCAGGGCCCTCAAAGGAAGGGCCAGAAGGGCTTCACACTAGCTCGAGGCCTCCCTGGGAGGGCGCCACGACGGCACCAGATGGCTTCCAACCCTGACCTTCCAGGAGGGCTAAAAAATAGCACCCGACGTAAAAACCTATCCCAGAGCTATTTTACGTCTTGGTTTTAGGCTGTTTCGTATCGTTTTTTAGGTTTTTAGGTTTCCAGTGCTAAAAAATAGCTCTCTGGAAGGTCAGGGTGGGAGGGCGCCACGACGGCACCAGATGGCTTCCAAAGAGGCCCCCAGGAGGCCGGAGTCATCCGAAACCCGGCAGGGAGCAATGGGGTCCTCGCCGTCCTCCTCCTCCCCGTCCTGTCCGCACGGCGCCGTGGCCTGGCGCGCGCCCGCGCTTGCCGCCGCGCCGGCCGCGCGAGGCCGGCCGGGAGCGACCCTCTCAAGTGTGCGTCTCCCCCCCCGGTCTGGGTCAGTGGATGTGGCCGGCAGGCCAGAGGGACTTCAATTTCCGACGGCATGCTACGTTTCGGGGCGTTTCGGGGCTTCCTCGTTCGGAGAGGGGGCATAGGTGATTTGCTCATTGTCTGTTCGCACGGATCGGACCTGGAACGTCTGGAGATCTCGCCTTGTCGCTTCCGAGGGGCCTCTGGTGCCTCAGCGTGGTTCAAGAATGGCCCTCGGTCGACCACAAGGAGGCCCAAGACGGTCGACTGGGGCCCCCCCGCACCCTTCAAGATGGCTCCGAGACGGCCGAAGATGGCTTCGAGACGGCCCAGGTGGCCGGACCTGATGGGAGGGCAAGGGCGGTTCTAGGCTAGGAATTGTCGGGTGGGGAAGCCCAAGAACAAAGCTCCTAGGACGGTGCGGAGGTCGGACCAGGTGGCGGCCTGTTGCAGGGTCAGGGTGGGTTTGGGGCTGGGAATTGTTGCGTCAAAGACAGAGATGCCAGGACAGAGCGGGGGTCGAACGAGGCGGCGACCTGGTGGAGAGTCAGGGTGGGCTCTTGACGAGGATTTGTAGGGAGGGAGGGGTCCAAAAAAAGAGAGCTCCCAGGGCGGTGCGGGGATCGGGCGAGTTGGTGACCTGGTGGGCACGTGGTGGGCACGTGGTGGGCACCTGGTGGGGGGTTCAGGGTCGGTTCCGAGTGTGAAGGCGCGTTCCAGGTTGAGAATTGCCGGAGGAAGGGGCCCCAACAACAGAGGTCCCACGACGGTCAGGCGAGACGAAAAGCTGGTTCGATGGGGGAGAAGGACTCCTCGCACGCCTCTGGGGTCGGCGGACCTGATTGGATCTCGTGGCCCCCCCCCCCTCTTCTTTGAGTATGTCCCCTGGCCCCCTCCCCTCGTCCGCGCACGTGCCCTCGGCCACGGCTTGCGACCCCCCCGTCGGGGGCGCCCCCGACCAACAGGCCGCAGCATGCAGCACTGCCGCCTCTGGAGCCCAGAGGCCGTTGTATGATCGTGGTCCCGGCCCGCGGTGCGGCAGGCAGGGAGGCTCAGCGCCGATCCAAGAGATCCGCGCGGACTTCAGAGAAATAGTAATGATGTGTGCCGTCTCTGTCCCTCGAGTCATGGTGAAAGTGTGTGTGCTGCTGGGGTCCTCTGGCAAGAACCTGCGGGGGTCTGGAGTGTCCTGGGGGTCCTCCCTGCTCGAGGTGGTGGCGACCACCCTGGCGATGGGGTTGGTGGAGGCTCGATACATCCGACGTGCTTTTTGTTGTGGTGGTGCATGGCCCCAGGACCTCATGACCCGCTCCCTGGGGTTCTGTGTCCACCCTGGGCCGCTTCTTGACGGCCTCCGGGGCTCGACACATGCTTTCTGGGTGGCAGGTCTGGCGGTCGCACGCCACCCTGCGCCGCCGCAAGTCGCAGTGCATCCAAGCGAGTGGGGGTGGCATAAGAGGGAGGCCACTGCGGCAGGGCAGGGAGAGGCGTGGCGCGCTCAGGCCATGAAGGCCCGAACCACACCCAGAGGCCGAAATTGGGGCGGAAACGGACGCGCTGGAAGCAAGCCAACGACACACGGGGCCGCCGGTCGCGGCCTCTCCTCGAGACGCTCGGCGGGCCCGCCGAAGAGCGGCGGCGGCGGCGGCGGCGGCGACGGCGGGCGCCGACGAGGTCGAGGCGCCCCAGCAGGCCGCGGGCGAGCCGGCGGCCCGGGCCTACCGCCGCCGGCGCGGGGGGCCCGTGGTCGATCTCGACCCGGAGGCCGCGGGGAGCCGCTGCCGCGGAGCGCCGTGCGCCGGAGCGTCGGCGGCCGCGGCCGCGTTCCTCGCAGCCGCCGCAGAGCAGTCGCCGCGGCCGCGTAGTCGCCGCCGCAGTCGCCGTCGCCGTCGTCGTGGTTGCCGCCAGTCGTGGTTTCCGCCATGGTCGCTGCCGTCGCCGCCGCGGTCGCCGCCGCCGTCGCCTCGGTTGCCGCAGTCGTCGCAGCCGTCGCCATCGCCGTCGTCGTGGTTTCCGCCTTCGCCGCCGCCGCCATCGCCGTCGTCGTGGTTGCAGTTCTAGCCGCCGCCGTCGCCGCCGCCGCTGTCGTCCTGTTCGCTGCTGTCGCCGCCGCCGTCGCCATCGCCGTCGTCGTGGTTGCCGCCTTCGCCGCCGCCGCCATCGCCGTCGTCGTGGTTGCCGCCCTAGTCGCCGCCTCCGTCGTCGTGGTTGCCGCTGTCGCCGCCGCCGTCGCCGTCGCTATCGTCGCGGTTGCCGCCTTCGCCGCCGCCACTGAAGTCGTGGTCGTGGCCGTCGCAAACGACACCACCGCCGTCGTCGTCGTCGCCTCCGCGCGGAGGCTTCAGCGTCGGCCTCGCCTCGGGCGACGGGTGCGGGCCCACCGGCCGCTGGGGAGCCAGGCCTTCAGAACGCCGAGGATGGGTGGCCCGCAAATCTCAAGCAGTGGCAAAGCGTCTTGATCTGTTTCCAGGCCCACCAAATATTGTTCTAAGAACATGTCGCGGTTTGGATCTGATCTGTTTGGAACATTCCCGGTTGAGACATTATTGTGTTAACGCATGTGTTACACCATACGAACAATGGTGGCGAATATGATGTTGCTGCTGATGATGATGATGTTGATGTTGATGTTGATGTTGATAATGCTGATGATGATGATGCTGATGATGATGATGATAGGAAATCCTAATGGTGATGAAGATGCCCCGAGATGTCAAGACTCCAAACATATGTGTTGACATTATGATTCGCGTTTGGCCTCTCGAACGCTGATGTATTTTAATTTTAGATTAAAGTTTTGCCTCTTGAAAGAAGAAAGCGTAATATTTAGTTTGATGGGAGTTTTCCGGGAATCTCACCCCTGAGTTTTTTCTGAGGTACCCGAATTCGCGTGAGTTTCCCGGGGGAGTTTCCCCCTGGGAGTTGATTGTCGGAGTTTCCATGTGTGATTGGAGTTTTCCACAAGATGTTTTGTCATGGTTGTTTCTGAATTTCCAGATGTCCTTGACTTTTCCAAGAGTTGTTTCTGAATTTGTTTGTCCGAGTGTTGGGATTTTAGTGGGATGTTCCGTGAATTGTTTAGTTTAGTACGAGTTTGGGTTTGTTTTGTGAATTGTCTGTGATTTCTTTCAGAGTCCGGGAGTTTCCCGGGATTTGTTTTGGGGGGGTAGTTCTGAGGGTTCTAGGTTCGCTAGTTCGCCGCGTCGGCTAATGAACGCACCCCGGGCTAAGTTCAGTAATTGGCTAATTGATTGTACCGATTTCGTAGTCTTCCTGCATTCTTATCTTCCTACCCTTCCTTGCGCCCTCCCTCCCTTTTCCTCCTCCTCCCTCGCGCCTCCTCGACAGGTGTTTTTTTTTCGAGCGCGAACAGGAGAGCGCAGCTCCCGATTGTCACGGCGGCCCAGGCGCGATTCACTCAGCGAAGTCGTCGCCGTTGGTACTCACCACCCACCAAACCACCCCAACCCAACCCGAAGGCTCAGATTTACAGTAGATTTCCAGTGGGGGGGAGTCGGGGAACATCGAAAAAACACGCGTGGAACCCTTACCCCCCCAACCCGAAATTCGGGTCTTCGGGTTGGGTTGGGGTGGTCTGGTAGGCAGTCAGGTACGCGTATGCGTCCCTCTCGCCGCCATTCGTCGCGCAGCGCGCCTCCGTCAAGATCGCCCACCGCTCGTCGATCACCTTCTCGACGTGCGCCCTGCTCCACCGCTGGAGGGAATCCGCCCTCCTCCTCCTCCTCCTCCTCCTTTTCCTCCCCCTCCTCCTCCTCCTCCTCCTCCTCCTCCTCCTCCTCCTCCTCCTCCTCCTCTGCCCACCACTCGCCAGCTAGCTGATACACCCAACGGAAGGATTCGACGCCCGCAGACACGCCGCCGCAGACAGAGCACCGAACGTCCATGGCAGCTGTGGAATTCTAGACTTCGAATCGCGCAACAAAACAAGGTGAGGCCAGAAACGGCTGAGGCAGACGGAGCGGCGGTGACGCCGCGACAGACGTGGGAGAGAGGCAGGAGGGCGAGGGCCGACTTCCCTCCTGCACAGGGGGGCAGCGGGTGGAGGTGCGCAGGAGCAGGGGGGTGATTTTCTTCAAGCGGCGTCGAAGCCATCACAGGACCCGCGCGAAAGGTTGAGAGACACATCGGGGCCCCGGTACGGCGCCGAATTTTCTGAGCATGGACGCGCTGCCGCGGCGCTTGGCGAAGTGCGCGCCCGTGCCTCCGAAGTCTTCGCCCCTGTAAGTCCTGCGTGTCGGGTTCGGGTCCAGTCAATGCTTCCATCAGGAGGGAACAAAAACACACAGACACAATTAATCGCCGATTCCCCAGAAAACACGGGAAGATATGGGAATCGGGGGAAAAAAGACAAAACCCACAAACTATTGGAAAATATAGGGGAATCCGGCTATTTGTGTGTATTTATTTGTGTGTCCCAGGGCCCGATTCATCTTCGCCCCTGTAAGTCCAGCGTGTCGGGTTCAGGTCCAGTCAGTGCTGCCAGGCCCACCTCAAGCAGCTGGTGAACCTTCGGCCTTTTTTGGTGCACGTTCGGCCGCATGGCGCGCAGAGCAGAACACTGCAGGCTAAACATGATCTAGTGATCATACAAGATGGCTCCTTTCAGGCTGACGGCTCAAAACCAACGAACGCACTGAGACCAATGAAACACCGCGATCTTGATCGCAGCCTCCTCTACGACGCTCTGCTCGCACAGCTCGTCGGCTAGAAATTTCCCAGACGGCATCGTATGTCTGATGACGCGACTTTGGCCTTGAAGGCGGGCCGTCTTTTTGTGCTTGATGGTTTTCATGGGCGCGGCGCGCAGCCGATCCGCCTCGCGGTTCTGGTCGTGCCAGATGGTAGCGCTGATCTTCGCACGGTGCACCGGCAAACTCTTTCAGCCTGGAGAACATCTGCCACGCCCAAATCTACAGCGCGCAGCCAAGTTGTTGTCCAAACACTTGGGTCAACACAGCAAATTGACATTGCAGGATTGATGGTAGCGCTGTTTTCCAGCAAGTATGGGATCAGTTGTGCCTTCGTGCGTCTGTTTGTTCGCCGCGGCGCAGCGCTGCAGATGCCTCCGGGTCGGGAGACCTGCGCGGGGGCGGCGCCTAATCGCAGCCACCTCAGGCATGCAGCTTGTGCGCAAACGATCGATTGCAGTTGTGCGCCGCGCGCGAGCTTACTTGCCTGCGACGGCTGGCTTTCGCACCGCTGCCCCAACCTGCGGTGACATCGCGCTATACCTCCAGCGGCATACTGCTTTTCCGCTGAGCTGCGCGAGCCCGAACGCATGCTTCCGGCACGCCCAATCTGCGCGCAATCGCACCAGTGAAGGCCTGTAGCCAACATCCCCTTTGACTTACTGGACCGGAGAGTTCAGACGTCAACGACCTTGCGCCGTCGCGGCGGGCAGCGTGGAAAGAACCAGCGGCCATCGCACGGAAATTCCAAGCAATCGCGTCGAACATGTCGTGCCATGAGTTCGTGCTTTTCGAAGTCTTCAGCAACCCATTGATAGGCATGCGTAGCTTGTGTCCCTTCGTTGTTGGCAGCCGTGGCAAGGTCTCGCGGCCCCACTGGCACGGGACGTCGTCTGCCCACAAGCCAGTTGCAATAATCGAAGCATTTTGCACTTCGAAAGGCAGCGTTGCGCGCGTTCCTTCCCAACTTTGCCCAGGGCGCCCGTGTCCTCCAATTCCCCAGTGGAGCCGTTTTTCAGCAGCTGAGCGAAGTACTCTTGCGGATAGCCGAAAGCGACCAAGTTTATCTTCTCACGCCTGCGCCTCTTGACGGCGGACGTCCGCGAAGTATGGTTTCGGCCGCGAGTTGCCTCGAAGAAATCGCCTCCGAAACCTCATGGAAAGATTGCCGCCGACGTTGGCCCAAGAGCTGGTTCCTCAGCTGGCCACGCTGCCCACTCTTCGGTGGTCTCCTGCACGGGCGTCGTCCAAGAGCGACTGCACTCGTCCGTGGGCGAGCGCGTTGCTCGCCAGCAGCATGCCAACGCTTACCCTTGGCCTCGCGCCAGGAGGAAGGTCGGCAGCGTCATGGCAGCGCTTGTGATTGCCAAGGATATCGGCTCGTTTAAAAAGAAAAGGCTGGCGTTGCTGAGTTTGGACCACGCGACCGCTAGGGAGAGTGCCGCAGATTGCCCATATTCAACGCCCTCCTGCAGAGCAGGGCGAGCAACGTCGGAGCGAGGTGGCCGAAGGCTCATTCGCTGTCCCTGGGCGCGCGGCTGCAATGGGTTTCCGCGGTGCGGATTGAATTCTCAGTATGACACAATTATTATTGTTGGGCCTCTAGAGGTGCCTTGGCGCTCTCGCCTCAGCGCCGGCTGCTTTTCTTTGGGAAGTTAAGCTCGCGCTTGGGCGTTTCGGGGGTGCGCCGTAGCAGGCCCCCAAACAACAACAACAACAAAAACAACAACAACAACAAGAACAATAACAACAACAACAACAACAACAACAACAACAACAACAACAACGACAACGACAACGACAACGACAACGACAACGACAACGACAACGACAACGACAACGACGACAACAACAACAACAACAACAACAACGCTCCCGCTCGATACTTCCTCCTCCTCCTCTCGTCGGGACCAGAGCTAGCGCTCGCCGCCAGTGGGGTTTCCAACAAACCGGCGCTCCCGCTCGACACTTTTTTTTTGTACTCAGGACCGGCGCCCCCCCCTCTTTGGGTCCCAGATATGACGCCCACCCCCATGCATGTACGTTTTCGAGGTGGATTTTATTATTGTGCAAGTCGTACTTCTGTTCCCTGTGCCTTTGCCAAGCGACATGCGCTTATTTGCTCCCGCGGGTCGCATGACAGTGTGCGTCGTGTGAAACGAGGACAAAAACTGCGTTTTTCCCGTCTTCCCTGCACATTTCGGGGTACCTGGGCGCTCTGGTCGGAGCGATCTACGACGGACCTCCAGCGTCCGCGCCGCCTTCGAAATTATTCTTCCGCGGGTGGGGTATTTTCGTGGGTGGGGTAAATCATCAGGCCTTCTTCGTGGCATAATTATACCCCACACCCGTGGCGCCACAATAACTTTATCGCGTTGGCCGGCATTTTTCGGGGTGCCATTCCAGGCGGGCCCGCAGACACCCCGACCCAACAAGTTGCAGGGGGGGGGCAAGCGAGGGAGGAAAGGCGCAGGGAGGGCGGGGGAGGGCGGGAGGAAGGCGCAGGGTGTCGCCGGGTCTGTCCCAGCGCTTATTCAAGGGACCCTGTGTGCGCCTCTAGAGCTGATGCCAACTTCGGCTTTCGAAACACGGGCCCAAACATTTTCAGTTTCTGTGGCCCCGGTGGGGGTGGGGCATAACTCGCGGGCCCTCACCCGCGGCGCCGCAAGCGGCCCCGCCTGCAACACAACGACGCTCCCGTTCGATATTTTTTCTGCTGTTACCCAATGCTCTCAGAGGCCCCGAAGGTTTCCTAGCCCACGTTGAACCTGGTTAAATTTTAGAAGCTTAGTATTGTGGGACACCCTACATCTGCACCGGTGCTTTCGCTCTGGCGCCAGTAGCAGATCCTGCAAGAATTTAGGCTCGCGCTCTGGCGTTTCGGGGTTGCGCCGCGACCGGGTCCCCAACAACAATAACCATCATTTCAAGACTGTTCGCTCTGATCTGTTCGAGTGTCATTCAACGCGTATTTCCAAAACCCTCGATGCCCGCCTTCTTCGTCTTCGATCGTGCCCCTCTTGGGGGGGAACTGTTTCTTCCCTGCAGGCCAGGCCCCGGCAAGCGGCGGGGCGGCCGCGGACTGCCGGCCTGGCCAGCGGCAGCGCTCATCGGCGGCATCCCGACCCCAAGAAGGACGGACAAGGGACCGACCACGACGACGACGACGACGACGGCGACGGCGACGACGACGGCGAGCGAAAACGAAAACGAAAGCGAGAGCGAGAGCGAGAGCAGGGCCACGAAGGGCAGGGAGGGGCCACGAAGAGCGACAGCGGGGGCACGAAGGGCATGCGCATGGGGCCGCGAAGAGCGCGAATGAGCGGGGGCCACGAAGGGCAGATAATGCGGGGCCACAAGAGGGCAACGACGGGGCCAGTGAGGGCAGCAACGGAGCCACGCAGGACAGCGAGGGGACCGCGAACGGCGAAGGCGTGGCCACGAAGGGCGTGCGTACGGGGCCACGAAGGGCGCGAGCGAGCGGGGGCCCTGAAGGGCGCGCGCGTATAGGGCCGCAGAGGGCCAGGACGGGGCCTCTGAGGGCAGCAGCGGGGCTGCGAAGGGCTGCAACGGGGCCACGAAGAGCTGCAACGGGTCCACGAAGCGCGCGGCATATAGGGCCACGACGGGCGCGAACGAGCGCGGGCCACGACGGGCATATAGAAATGTGGCCGCGAACGTGCAGCGAGGGGGCCACGAAGGGCTGCAACGGGGCCACGAAGGACAACGACGGGGCCGCAAGGGGCCGCGAAGGGCGGCAACGAGGCCACGAAAGGCAGCGTGGGGGCCACGAAGGGCTGCAACGGGGCCACGACGGGCAGCGAATGGGCCACGAAGGGCGGCAACGGGGCCACGAAGGGCAGCGAGGGGGCCACGAAGGGTTGCAACGGGGCCACGGAGGGCAGCGATGGGGCCACGAAGGGCTGCGAGGGGCCCACGAGGCATCCGCGAAGGGCTGCAGCGGGTCCACGAAAGGCAACGATATTTCGATACGCTGTGAGGGAGTCGGAAGCGTTAGCGCGACTCCTGTGTGCGTGAGTGTCGGGAGCGCGGCGCTTGAGTAAATGGAGGGGAGCTCCAAGGCAAGAGCACGATTCTTGAGTACATGTCAAGCGAGTCGCCAGCGAGAGCGCGACTCCAGAGCGCCGAGAAAGCGATTCCTGAATACACTGTAAGGAAGTCCAAAGCGAGAGCACGATCCCTCAGTAAAATACAATAAAGTCTCGGGCGGAAGCAGGGTTGGTTCCTGGCCGAATTTCGGGGAATTCACAGGCGGGAGCCGTTGTATAATATTCATTTCGAACGAATAATTATTGTTGATATCCGGAAACTGTTCCGCGCGCTGTCGCCTCGGCGTTAGCTGCATTTTCTTTGAAAACGAGGCCCCCGCTAGAGCGTTGACTTGAGCCTACATGTGGGCCCTTCGAGGCCCAGCTACGACAACAACGGCTCCCGCTCGATATTTCTTCACAACTTGCCCCTGGACACCTTGGCCGGAGAGGCCCCCGGTTTGAGGAACGGCGCTCTCGGACTTCCTCGCAAGTCAACTAGGCCGGCGACGGCCCAGCCACGACGACAAGGGCTCCTGTTCGATACTTCCTCACGATTAACGCCGAGAGCCCCTGGCCAAGAAGGCCCCCGAACTCAGGAACGGTGCTTTCGCCAGAGATTTTCCCGTAATTCAGGCAAGTTGGTGGAGGCCCGGACACGGCGACACGGGTTCCCGTCGGATTATTCTCCATTGGTATTCCGAGAGCCCCTGGCCAGAGAGGCCCCCGAGTTCAGGAACGGCGCTCTCGCTCGAGACTTCTTCGCACTTCAGGCAGTGGCCGACAAGGAAGAGATTCCCACCGAAAGGGGATGCAATCGAAGACGAAGTGGGCGGGTATCGAGGGTTGGGGTATACGGAATGCAAGACACGCGTGCCAGTAAGGGCGAACAGCGTTAAAATGATTGTTGTTGTTGTTGCTGTTGTAATCCGGGGGCCAACAACGCAGTTTGAGCGCAGTGATTTTCTCTGATGAAGAACAGGGTTCGAGCCCCAGTACAAGCACTTCAATTGGGAAACACAAGTGTCACCCGAGGGGGGGATCAACAATATCTATTCTTCAGTAGTGAGGGTCCAACAGCAACAACAACCACAACATTAACCATCATTATAAGACTGCTTGCTCCTATCTGCTCACGTGCCATCCAAGCCGCATATCCGCATATCCTCAGAGCGTGAATTACCTCCCCCGCTTTCGCTTCCAGGCAAAACCAAGCCATACCACGCGCCTCCTCGTCAAGCGGCCTGACCAGTACAGGCCGCAATTTGGCACCGTTTGGTATCTCTTGGAAGCGAGGGTGGTCAAAAGCGAGGGAGGGAGGTTTGTTTGCCCCCTATATCCCAAACCTTCGTTAACCGCCCTTCTCGTCTTCGATCGTACCTCCTTGGGTGTATACCGTTTTTACTTGCAACGCGTAATTCATGCAGCCCCTGCGGCAGGGGAACGGCGGCGACAGCGGCGACAGCGGCGAAGACGGTGGCGACGACGACGACAACGGCGCCGGCGTCGGCTTCGGCGGCGACGATGGCCACGGCGTCGACGTCGACGACGATCGACATCCCCAAGAGGGGGCGGGGCGAGCGGTGGCGAGCGGGCCGCCCTTCCAAGTCATAAGGGGTCGAAGATCGAGGAGAGGTTGCCTGGACGGCCCTCCTTTTTGGGACTCCAGGTGCGCCTCCCTGGCAACTGCTGAGCGCAGCTCGGATAATTTGCCAGGGCGGACCTTGGGAGAGGCCTGGGGACCTGCTTTGAGTGGGTCTGGGTCGGGGGCCGCGTCGAGGGGTGCTGGCTTTTCGTAAATGCGCACCGCCCCTCCCTTCGGGGGCCTTCTCCGAGGCCTCTAAGCTCGAAGAGATGGCCAGTCCCTTCTAAGAGGCTCCCGTTCGGCTCGCTGTTAGAGTGACCCTTCGCAAAGGTGCGACCTCTGGTGCGTGGTCACAGGGGTCCCCATAAGCCGCGCGCCAAATTCCATTCTTGGTTAGGGCTGTGATGCTCCAACCTATTTTAGCCTTGGCCACCAGAAACAATTTCGAGCGCCAAGGCAGAACCGAAGCCGGAGGGCTCTGAAGGGCGACACCCTTGGGAAAGTCTTCCCGCGCTGGGCCCCGGGAGGCGGCACTCGTCCGACACCTCGCCCGCGTCTCGCCAGCGTCCCGGGTGCCCGAAATGATGCGGGGGATGCGGCCCTCAGAAGTGCGACGGGGACAACAGGAGGGTTAGGGCCACTCTTGCGTGTGGCGCCCCAGCCCCTGGCCCACAGGCTGGCGTGGTGGATGAGAAGCTGGCGCTGCGGGAGTTCCACGCGCTGAAGCTCGCCGAGAGGCACGCCCCGGGTCGGAGGCCAGAGGCCCGTGGCCGGCCTCGCGCAAGAGGGGGAGGGGGCCCTGACTTTCCAGGAGGGCTAAAAAATAGCACCCGACGTAAAAACCTATCCCAGAGCTATTTTACGTCTTGGTTTTAGGCTGTTTCGTCTCGTTTTTTAGGTTTTTAGGTTTCCAGTGCTAAAAAATAGCTCTCTGGAAGGTCAGGGGGGAGGGGGGAAGGCTTCCTAGAAGCACCCCTTACTCTTAGAAGGCGCGGGCCTTGGCCGGCGCCTTACAAGAAGCAGTTTCCTTCTGAGAAGCTTTCCCCCTGCCCCCTGCCCTCCTCTGCGCGCCGCCAGTGCGGCATGCCTGCGGGGATCTCTTGGGAGGCCTCTCGGGAGCCTCTTGGATTCAGCTCGGGGGTGTCTCGGGGGCCTCCTCGGGGCCTCTTGGGGCACGACTTGGGCCTCCTGGGGGCGGAGGAGGAGGCGGAGGAGGAGGAGTAAGCGGAGGAGGAGGAGGAGGCGGAATTGGATGACGAAAAGGAGGAGGAGGAGGAGGAGGAGGAGGAGGAGGAGGAGGAGGAGCCTCCTGGGGGGCCCCTTTGGGGGCCTGCTGGCGGTCTCGGGGGCCACTGGCCGCGGGGCGCAGGGCGCCCGGACAGCAGCACCGAGAGCAGCCCCGCCAGACGTGCGACGCCTTGGTTTTTTCACTCCCCTTCCTCCTCCTCCTCCTACTCCTCCTCCTCATCCTCCTCCTCCTCCTCCTCCTCCTCCTCCTCCTCCTCCTCCTCCTCCTCCTCCTCCTCCTCCTCCTCCTCCTGGCCGGCGTCCCTGGAAGTCCCGACACTTTCCCCAGGACCATCTTTTCGTCCCGGGTCGTTTTTTGACGGCCCCGGGGCCCGGCGAGGGCCCCCCCTGGGGCCGAAAATGCCCAAAAGCCTCCCGTCCGGATGTTTGAACGGCGCGGTCATGTCTGGGCCTGGCACCCCCACTCCGCCAGCGCCGGGCCCCTCCCCCGCGGCGGGCCAAGCGGAGGGGGGGGGGGCGGGGCGCCGCAGGCTCGGCCATCCACTCTTCTGGGAGGGGTGAGGGGCTCTCGCTGTGGGGGGGGGGGGGGCTCTCCGCGGCAGGGAGGGGGGTGGCGCGGAGCCGATGGGGCCGCGAAGCGCTGCGATGGTTGGGACGGACGCCTTCGAACGTCGCCACGAGGGCCTTCGGTGGAGCTCCCCACGTGGCCACGCAACGCTGTACCGCCGGGTGGGGCGGACGCGGGCTTTCGGGAGGGGAGGGGAGAGGGGGGAGGGGGGCAAGGGGCGACGCGAGCCCCAGCGCGACGCCGCGACGACGCGGGCGCGGGAGGGTCCGAGGCGGGGATTTACACATGACCACCGCCTGTGGTGTCGACCTTCGGGGACCTCGGTGGGCGCCGGGTACGGATGGATTCGGGCCCTGGGGGGGGGGGGGGGGGGGGGGGGGCGCGAACACGCCGTGGTCACGGAGGACCCCCCGCCTCCCAGGCGGAGGGCAAACCCATGCACGCAGGCCGCTGCTGACGCATCGCACGCAACGCTTGGCAGTTCGCACAACAGAGGCCGCACGCTTGCCCAGAGCCACTCTTCGCGTGTAGCCGAGCGACCGGTCCGCGGGAGGTGGCGCGGAGGGAAGAGGAGGAGCAGGAGCAGTTGGAGCAGGGAGGGGGAGGAGGAGGAGGACGAGGAGGAGGAGGAGGACGAGGAGGAGGAGGAGGACGAGGAGGAGGAGGAGGAGAGGAGGAGGAGGAGGAGGAGGAGGAAGATGAGGAGGAGGAGGATGAGGAGGAGCAAGAGGAGGGAGGAGAGGAGGAGGAGGGGAGAGGAGGAGGAGAGGAGGAGGAGGAGGGAGGAGGAGGAGGAGGAGGAGGGAGGAGGAGGTGGCAGAGGGAAAAGAAAGAGGAGGTGGAGGAGGAGGAGGAGGAGGAGGAGGAGGAGGGCGAGGAGGAGGCCTTCTCTATAGATGTGACGCCTGCGCCTTTCACGAAGCAGCCTCCCTCTGAGAAGCCTTGCCCCCTCCCCCCTATACCCCCTTGTGCGCGCCGCCAACAGACCCCTGCGTGTCGGAGGCTCCATGACGGGGTCCTGAGGGATGGGGACTTGAGGATATCAGGAGGGAAAAACACAGACACAATTAGTCGTCGATCCCAAGGAAAACATGGGAAAATATCGGAAGTGTGGGGGAAGACGAAAATCCCGAAAACATAGGAAATCATGGGGAATCCTATTATTTGTGTGTATTTCTTGTGTGTCCCAGGGCTTCTTCAGGATAGGAAGGGACCCAGGGTTGGACTCACGTTGTTTGAGGCACCTCGCCCATGAGGACAACATCCCCCAGCCAGGACCCCGTCTCTGAAGCACCGATCGAGGCCATGTGGGAGTCACGACTCTGGTAAGCACGGCCTCCGACCGCATGTTGCCGGCAATACGGGCGTGCATGATTTTGCGCGACCACTCTGTGGCGGTAATGTTCGCGCGGGTGATCGGCTCTTGATTTGCACGGCCTGCGACCCAGACCCCCGACGTCATGATTTGTTCATTACGTCGACCCCTGCAGGTCTCGACCCACTCCCCTGGACCGGTTTTTCATCCCGAGTCGTTTTTTGACGGTCCCGAGGCCCGATGAGGGCCCCCAGAGGCCGAAAAGACGGAACAACTTCCAGTCATGATCTTGTCATTGCCCAAGGGGGTCTGGGGACATCGGTGTGTGCGAGGCCGGCCAAGACACAGCGAAAGCCGCCGAGGCTGCAATGGAGCAAACAAGCAAAACTGGAGGAGCCACGGCCCTCTGGCCTCGGCCAGGAGGGCGCGCGTGCCGTGCCGGGGCCCCCGTGCCGCCCCCGGCGCTGCACGCACGGTGCCCAGACCGCCGGCCTTTTCTTTGCGCCGCGAGTCCCCGGACCTGTTGGCCACTTCCCGCGGCCACTTCTCCTCCTTCTCCTCCTCCTCCCCCTCCTCCTCCTCCTCCCCCTCCTCCTCCTCCTCCTGCTCCTCCTCCTCCTGCTCCTCCTCATCCTTCCCCTCCTCCTCTCTCCTCCTCCTCCTCCTCCTCCTCCTCCTCCTCCTCCTCCTCCTCCTCCTCCTCCTTCTTTTCCTCCTAGCCATTTCCAGGTTTCGAGCAGGCACAACCTTTGAGGCAGCGCGCTTGGAAGTGGCGCAGCAATCTCGAACCAAACGATTTATTCTTGTCGCCCATGTCCGCTGGCCGTGCTGCTGTGGGAGGCAAGCAGTTCCAAACCTGGGTCTGCAACGACTCCCGCTGTCGGTATGCCAATTTCATGTGGCGAACCCACTGTAGTGAATGCGGAAAGATCTGCCCGCCCAAAGCCCAGAACATCCAGAGGCGCCCAGGAGAGGAGACTCCTCCATGGGCAGACCGCCTCCAGGGTGACTGGGCGCGTGGACCGCCCGGTGGCGCGAAAGGGGGCGGAGACCAGCCTGGAGGCTCAACCGTTCCAAGGGAGGTGGCGGAGGCAAGGACAAGGAGCGGGCCCCAGACAATGCGCTCGTCGTCCAGATCCTCCGCGCCTTTGAGAATAACTCGGGAAAGTCTATGGATGACGTGGTGGCCTTTGCGGAGAAGCCCCCCGCGTCGGAAGAGCCACAGCCCGCAGACCTCAGCTCGAAGTCCCTCAGACGCGGAAGCAAAAGCATATCGATGCAAACCGAAAGCGAGTCAAAGAGGCATAGGCGACCCTCGAGGCGGCGCGAAAGTTCGCGGAGGAGCTGACCGCCCAGCTTGCAGCGCACGAGGACAATTTCAAGAAGATCAAGGCAGCCATCACCGCCAAGCAGGCGGAGGCTGTCATCCCCAACCAGTCCAAGGTCGGGGGCATCAACAGTGGCATCGAGCTGCTGCAGAGCTTCGGCAAGATGCTGGAGGCGATGGACGCCCACTTCGGCGTCGAAGTGGCAGGGGGGCCAAGGAGACAGCGGCGAAACTTGAGCAGCAGAAGCCTAAGGCGGCTGAGGCAGCCCGCGCTGCTCGGCCTGGCGCTCCTCCTCCTGGCGCTGTGGGCGCCGCTGCTTCTGACGCTGGCGCGACTGCAGGAGGCATGGACGTCGACGGCAAGGTTGAGTTCGACCCCGCAGATCCTGCCATCCAGTCCTGCGTCAAGGAGGCTGGAGTTGACGTCGATGACCCCGCCAAGGCCAAGCGGCTCCTGGCGGCCCTGGGCAATGCTGCCAAGAAGCACAAGCGCCTTCGATGACAGGCGGGGCTGCAGTGGAGTGGAAGAGGGGCTTCAGCAATGCGGAGCTGGAGCGAGTGTTGATGCTGATGTGAAGCATGAGATAAGTTTGTGGTCGGCCAATTCTTCGAGCTGGTCGTCGGCGCAGACGTTGTTGGAGTGGGCCCACGACAGTGCTGACCAGGCGCTGCCAGATGTGCTTTGTGGGCAGGAGCATCGCATTAAGAGCGGTCCTGTGTTGGAATCGGCCGTTCGATGGGCCAGGGAACGTGCCTACTACATGTGCGCGCACAAGGCTGAGTCGACGGGTGACGGACCGTTTCGCTCGAGCGGTGGCGCAAGCGTTCTCAGCAGATTGGCGGCCAGTTGGGGGCCGCAGGTCCTGGATGAAAAGTTGCTACCATCGCAACGAGTGGGGTCGGTACGCCTCAATGTGGGCTTGGCCGTGCCGCTGCACGTAGTTTCCCTGCACCTGGTCACGAGCATCGGCCTGGCCATGCAGAACATAGACATTCTGGCGCAGCTCATGGAGTACCTCGGTTCACTTCCTGGGCCGTGGATCGCGCCTGGAGACTTCAACGTGCTGCCCGAGGAGGCGCAGGAGTGGGCGCAGCGTGTTCACGCGATCCCGTTGACAACGGGCGCGCCAACTTGCGGTGGCAGAGAGATCGATCCTGGCGTCTGCTCGCGCGTGCTTTCTGGCTTCATCCACGCAGTGGCGCCGATTGAGGGCTCGACGCTGCAGACGCACATTGCTGCGCACGTTCGGCTCCGAGGCTCGGGGAGGCAGGCGCGCGTGACGCGCCTAGTTTTTTCCCACCCAAGTTTCCGATTTGCAAGCCGCCCCCCGTGCGGCCTGCGCCACATATTGTTTCAGGCAATGAGTGGCCCTGGGCGATTGGTGAGGCACTCCCTGGAGACCTCGGCGAGGCGTGTGCTGCTTGGTTTTGTCATGCCGAAGGCTATCTGTCGGAGTTTCACGGCCTGTCGGACTGGGCTCAAGGGGCCTGGATGGGGTCGCGCCGAGAGTTTTAAGACAGCGAATGAGCCGTTCATTCAGGTTTGGGGGCGCTCACTCAAGCAGCATTCTGGTAGCGAGTACAAAGCCTGGGCCAGGTTCTATTCGGCGGCCTTTCGCTTGTCGGAGTTGGGCGTTGCAGCCGGAGCTCGTCGGTGCCCGTCGCTGGCTGCATTGCGAAGGCAGAGTAAGGTTGTCAGTTGCATTGTTCTCAACTGCTGGCCTCAGTCGGGGTCGCTCAGCAAGTGGGCCGAGACCCCGCGTCAGGACTTAGTCGGTTTAACCGCGCCAGGCAGTGATGTGCCACGGGGCGATGGGGAGTCGGCCAGGGCCTCGCACTTCATGGAGGCTGCGAGGCAACACATGGCCAATCTCCAGAGGGCGTCGAGAGCTGAAGCAACCAGAGCTTGCCGAGAGTGGGCCCAGGCGGCGGTTCTTAACGGCGCCCGCTGCGCCTTTCGCTTCGTCCGCGATTCAGCGCAGCCCTCAGTTATGAAGACGGCGGCAGTAGCCAGCGCTCCTTCGCTTCGCGCGGCAGGCCAGGAGGCCTTTGATTTAATCATGCAGACCTGGGCTCCGCTCTGGGTCAACTCTGAGCGTGCTTGCGAGCCCCGCCCTGCGTCGCGGGAGCTCTCTCGGCCCTCTACTGATCAAGTGGGAGCCAGTGGAGGCGCGAGCCCGCGGGGGGCCCGCCCTGGGCCCGAGGTCGGCGGAACGCCGGTGGGAAGGCTTGACGCGAAAGCCGAGCTCCCGCCCATCACTCTTGACCAGCTCGATCGATTGCTCCAGAGTTACCCGGCCAACTCTGGACTGGGGCGGGATGAGTTTCGCCGGGGGATCAGGGCCTCTGGACGCTTCTGGTCTTCTTTTTAAGTGAGCCCAACCCCAAGGGGGTGCGAGACCCGTCGTCTTGTTCTCCCTCTGGACTCGGGCGCGGTCTATTCGCCGTCAGGTCGTTGCTCTTCGTTGGGGGAAGAGCTCTGGCGAATGCCACCTTCTGGGGGGATTCGGGGCACGCCTGTGATAGGCCAGGGCCGGCGCGCAATGTGCTGCAGCGGTTCGCTCGTCTGCAGGGGCTTTCGGCTGCCAGTGGGCTGCTGGACCTCTCTAAATATTATAAGTCTATCTCGCATGATGAGCTCGAAAGGGAAGCCATCAATACTGGCTTTCCGCTGGCGCTGCTTCGTAGTAGGATTCCTCGGCGCGCGGTTTGGCGGGGGGCGGTTGCGCCTGCGGTGGAGGCTAATGGGGCTGTCGCTGCGGGGTGTAGCTGTGCGCTGGCGCTGGCGAAGCTGCTGGTGCACGCGCCACTCGCGAAGTTGCAAGCCAGGTTCCCCGCAGCTCAATTTCAAAACCTCGTGGGCGATTTTTTGCTACAGGCGCTCGGTACTGCGGAGCAGGTTCTTGCCCAGTTTCCCGAGGCCATGATGGCCTTGATCCGTGGGCTCCAGGAGAAACAGCTGCGGGTCACTTGGGATAAGACTGGCTATTGCACATCCGCTGTAGAGCTGTCAGTGCAGCTCAACGCTGGGTGGTCTCTCGGCGATGAGGATCGACTCATCGGGACCAGGTGCTTGGGCACCGGTGCGCATGACGGGTCGGCTTGGAGGGTGGGTGGGTGGGTGGGGGGGGGGGGGGAGATGGACGAATCGCTGAGGCAAAGAGAGTCTCGGCGAGATTTCAGCAGGTCAGAGCTGCTGGCGCTGCTGTCAGCACTATCCAGAGGGGGTCTCCTACGGCGACGGCGGCGCGGGGGAGTGCGGTCACTGATCTACCAGACCACAACTTACATGGGTTGAGAGTGCTGGCCCTTCGTGCTGAGGGCCGGACCCCTGCAAGCACCTCGGTCGGCCTTCGATTGCGTGTGTCTCCCAGGGGCTCCGTCAGGGGCCCTTGGGTTTCGCGTGCTGTAGAAGTGGCGACGCAATGGGCTCTTTCGGCCTTCTCTGAGTTGCCAGGGCGCGGCCCTATGCAGAGTTGCTGGGTGGCTGGTAAGGATCTCCTCGGCAAAGCCAAGCCCTGGGCTCACTGCGTCGATCCTGGGCAGGCTGTGCTGCTTTGCATGGCGCGCATTGGCATTGCAATGCCCTCGGCCTTCTCTTTGGCCTTCCTGGGCCTCGAGTTTTCCACGCGGGAATCCACGCCTGGATTTATCGCGGAGCGTGCGAAGGAAGCTGCGCTGGTTTCCTCTGACGTTCGTGCTCTGGCTATGATTGAACAAGGGGTGGCTGGAGGGCCCTGCGCTGGGGGGCCCTCGACCACCTCCTCTCTCGCAGTGCCGCGGGCGCCTGGGCGCAGCATCACAAGGCGGCGTTGCGGACCTTGGCGGGTGGCTCCCACTGGCCACAAGCGCTGCTTTTTAGCAGTGGCAGGGCACAGCACGGTCGATGCTTGATCTGTGGAGGGCCAGGCACGCTGTTTCATCGGTTTTACGAGTGCCCGTGCATCGGGGCACACAGACGTGAAGAGCGCCCGCCACATGTGCGGGAAGCTGCCAGAAAAGTGAGCTCACTGGTGCCAGAGGCGGTGGACATGTTCGTTCGATGTCTGTTCCCGTCTCTGGCCCGTTGCATTCTCACTCCGGAGGCCAACCTCGAGGGCGAGCTGATCTGGATTGGGGCCCCCGAGGCTGGAAGTTTTCGGGGCAAGTTCTTCTGGGCGGCAGCGCGTTCTGCGCTCGGTTTTCGGGGCTCTCTCGCGCTTGGTGGTCCGCCGTCCAGATTGATGAGAGCGGTCGCCTGCAGGCGGGCGCCTTTGGAGTGGTTCCCCCAGTTACGCGCCCAGCCAAGTGGCGCGAGATGGAGAGGGTCGAGCCTTTCAGGGCTTGGCTGAATACTCTGCGCGGAACGCAGAAGATCCCCGCCCAATCTATTCAGACTGCGCGGGTTCTTTTGAGTGCGCGGTGAGTCCCGGCGCGGCGCTCGACCCCATGAATTCTAGAGGGCATTTTGGGGTCCGCTGATGGGGGGGATCGGCCACCGGGCGTCTGTTGCACAGGTCAAGGCGCATCGCGCGCGCTCCTCGGCCACCAGCTTCGAAGATGACTGGCTGATCCTCGGCAATCAGATGGCGGACCGCTGGGCAAACAAATGTGCTCTGAGGTGGTGCCCCCCCCCACACCCACCCACCCACGCACATGTCGCCTTCGCACGGGGGTCGAGGCCATGGCCCACGATGTCTCGAGATGGCACGCGAGGGCCCAACAGTTGATGGTTGATGGGGTTTCGTCGACTCTGAGGGGGTTGTTGGGACCTCGGGCATCGCATTCGAGCTCGGCCCTTTCGAGTGGGGGCGCCTGGCCAGCGCGGCTTGTGAGGGGGGTTGGGGCCGTTCGCGGAAGTCCCAGGGGTGGTCCCTGACGGGGGATCTGCGGCCTCGGCCTCTTTGCCGCCTCCGACGCCGCCGCCCTCTCGTTCCCCCCCCTTCTGCTGCAGCTGCGGGGGGTGAGGGGGGCCCTGATCTTCGGGAGTGCTCTGGGATGCAGATGTTCTATGTTGTAAAGTCTGCGGGTCCTCGGCGCATAAGAATGTTTGGTCGGGTGAGGGTCTAAACGGGGTGCGCCGTGGGAGGGGGGCCCCACGACTGCGGACTCAGCGCCCCCTCCCCCGCCGAGGGCTCATGCCAGGGCGCCTGAAGGAGCGGATCGTGGACGTCCGCGCCCCCTCAGGTGTGGACATCGAGGCCTGCCCCCCCCCCCCCCCCCCCCCTCGCTGGAGGCGCGCGGGAGCAGGGGGCAGGAGGTGGGGGCGAACAGTTGGTGAGTGCTCCAGCGGCCTTCGAGGTCAAGTATGGCACGGCGTGCCGCAGCTTAACCAGGCGGGTCGCTTTGTTGCACGGTTTTGATTGCCCTTCGGCTGTGGTTGACCTCTCCAGGTCCCTGGGGAGGGGGGGCCTGATTTTTGTTGAGGAGCCTGCCGAGCGGTCGGCCTGATGCTCTGCAGAGAGGGGGCCCTGCCCCATGTATTCAGCACGCTCAGCACACCTCCTCCTCCTCCTCCTGGTCCTCCTCCTTCCCCTCCTTCTCCCTCCCTGCTCCTCCTTCTCCTCCCCCGTCCTCCTCCTCCTCCTCCTTCCCCCCCATCCCTCCTCCTCCTCTCCGTTCTTTCCCCTCCTCCTCCTCCCCCTCCTCCTCCTCCTCCTCCTCCTCCTCCTCCTCCTCCTCCTCGTCCTCCTCCTCCTCGACGCCAACGCTGGATTCGCCTCGAGGTTTCGGCCCGAACGTACCCCGGGAGAGGTCTGGGGAGTAGCGGTTCCGGTGCCGTTTGGCTTCCCGCGGACAGGCTGTTCTCGACGCGCAACCCGCCAGGTCGTGCGTCGACGGCCCCGCGGCCCAGACACAGCCCTTCGGACGCAGAGACTTATGAAAAACAATCGGCTTCCGGGCATGGCTATAGGACAGGGATGGATCGCCCCGCAGCGTTGCGGGGTTATCTCGGAGCTTTCTGGGACGGTCTAACTAGGCCGCGGCGCCCGACACACCCTCCAGAACCGCCCGACCTCAGAGACCTCAGATTTATAATCCAGTCGCTGAAGTAAGAACCGGATTGGATTCGGAAGGGGCTCGCTGATCCTTAGGTCCTTCCATGGCTGTCATCCTAGCGTTCCTCGCCCACGCAGGCGTTTCCGGGACCAAAAAATAGTCCCGTTCCTTAGCGTTCGTTATCTGAGCAGCTTGAGTGCATCCCTTTTCGATCCTGTCCTTGCCCTGGCCTCGTTTCGGTCTTGCCTTGTTCACCGCGTCCGAGGCCCTTGGCGGAGGTGCGCCGACCCAACCCGATGCCAGATCGGTTCCAGCCAGCCCGACCCGATTCGATTCCGATTCTTCACCAGGAGGAAAGCGGGTTTCCGAAGGCCGGGGAAGTTTTGCTGCGCTTCTTCGTGGGAGCACAGACCCGGGGCTGGCAGACCCGGGGTGAATTTTCTTCTTATGCCCTTTAATAAGGCCTCTGGAACGGAGCCGGCCTGCCACGGCAGCTTTTTCGGTTGCGTTACGAAGCAAGCGAGCTTCTCGCAAGCCGCCTGCAGCGAGCCACGCCAGGGCCAGACAAGCCGCCGCGCTGCCGCCGCGGGACCTTTCCGATGCAGATTCTTCTGCATTGCAGGATTTTTGTTCTGCACTGCAGTTGTTTGTTCTGCAGCAATTTTGCGGGACATCTGAAAATCTGCAATGCTGATTTTTGTTTCTGCATTGCATTTTTTGTTTCTTGCACGTGTGTGGGTTTGTCCGGCCACCAGCCACCCCTGTGGGATATTGGGTACGGTGAGGAAATCACGTTGAACATCTGGGCTGGCCGCATGATAAAGCCGTGGAGCGCCAGGGCTTGCGCGCCCGAAACAGCTGCAAAATGCAAGGCCCCAGCCCCTGGTCTACCGACCCCCGGTCAAGGGGGCCCCGATTTCCCCCTCTTCGGGCAGTCCTGGGGCCCTCTTCGGGCCCCGGGACCGTCTGACAAAAACGGCTCGCGAGGACAGACATCGTCCTGAGGGAGGGCGCCAGGGTCCAGGACCCGCTGCCCCGAGGGCCCTCCGCGGGCCCCGGGACTGTCAGACAACGGCTCGCGAGGACACAGCTCGTCCCGAGGGAGGGCGCCGGGGTCCGGGACCCGCTGCCCCGAGGGCCCGCGCTCGCGTGCTGCGATGCCTCGTCGGTGCGGCTGCCGCCCGATCTGCCTGCGAGGGGCGCTGCTCTCCGCGTCAGCCCCGGCGCACCATGCCGGCGCAGCGGCGCCCGTTCGAGCGCGCGACTCGTGCCAGCGTGGCTCGATCCGTCCCACACAGTCCGACCTGCCTCCCCGAAGGAGGAGGAGGAGCAGGAGGAGGAGGAGGAGAAGGAGGAGGGGGAGGAGGAGGAGGAGGAGAAAGAGGAGGGGGAGGAGGAGGAGGAGGAGGAGGAGGAGGAGGAGGAGGGAGGAGGAGGAGGAGGTGGAGGAGGAGGAGGAGGAGGAGGAGGAGGAGGAGAAAGAGGAGGGGGAGGAGGAGGAGGAGGAGGAGGAGGAGGAGGAGGAGGAGGAGGAGGAGGTGGAGGAGGAGAGTCTGGCGAGGGTCGAGGATCGAGGCTCGCGGCTCGAGATTGGAGGGTGGCGAGGGTCCAGGAGCGCGGAGATCCAGGTCCAAAAACATTCGAGGGCCGAGATGCGGGGGTCGAGGGTCGAGGATCGCGGATCGGAGCATCGCGGATCGAGCCCCGAGGGTCGAGGATCCTCCCTTTAGCCCTCCCGAGGCGGGCGCTGCCCCCCGCGCGCGAGGGCGCGGCCGCCGAGGCGCCGCCGCCGCCGCAGGGGCGCTCCAGCGGTGAGGCACCGGGCGAGCCCGGGGCGGCCGCGCCCGCGGGCTCGGCGGAGCAGGTCGGGGGGGAGGGGGGGCTGATGATGGTGGTGATGACGGTGGTGGTGATGGTGATGATGATGCTGATGGTGGTGATAATGGTGATGATGATGATGATGATGATGATGATGATGATGATGATGATGATGATGATGATGATGGTGGTGGTGGCGGTGGTGGTGATGAAGGTGGTGATGGTGGCGGTGGTGGTGATAAGGTGGTGATGGTGGCGGTGGTGGTGTTGATGGTGGTGATGGTGCCGGTGGTGGTGATGATGATGATTGTGGTGGTGGTGATGGTGGTGGGGTTGGTGATGATGATGATGATGATGATAATGATGATGATGGTGACAGGATAATTAAGAAAAAGCAACTTCGGAGCCAGGGTCTGGATTTTCTTAACCCTATTTAAGAAAATCTGAGTTCCAGGGTAGACTATTGAGATTTTCTTAAGTATGTAAGATAGACGCCGAAACAAAACAAGAAGAAGGAGGAGAAGGCGGAGGAGGAGAGCGCGGAGGAGGAGGAGGCGGAGGAGGAGGGGGGCATCTGAGCATTTGAATTGATTGGCATCATGTGCATTTCAATTGATTGACATTGTGCATCGCCGTCGGAACCGGAATGGGTTGCTTTTGGTATGCTTGAATTGACGGTCGTTCCTTCCGTTCCCGTCCCGTTCCGTTCCGTTCCTCCCGTATATATTCATGTTGGTTTATACCGGATATAATACTATAGATCGTTGGTTTTGTAATGATACCGGAGTTATTTTTCGGCGGTAATCGTTGGTTTATCGGCCGCATTTTATTTATATTTATACCGGAATTGACAGTAATTACCGGGCAGCGGCAGCAGCAGTGGCAGCAGCTTTTAAGGAGGAGCAAGGAGGAGGAAGCAGATCTTCTTTTGTCTTTCTCTCTTGCTTGCTTTCTCTACTCTTTCCCTCCTCCCTCCCGGCTTTGCCATAACATGCCCGCTGCCCCCCTTAGCGGCAGCCGCGAGGCGCCGCATGATTCGTTGTTCCCGTGGTCCTGTGGTCCCGTGGCGCGGCAGAGCTGGGTTTCGCGCTGCCTTCCGCCTGAGCGCGGCTGCGCCTCGCTCGAAGCCCGCGGGGTTGTCCGAACGGTTTGGTCTTGCGCGCCAACGGCTCGCGAGGTTGTCCCGACAGCGTGTCGTCTGACTCTGTGGTCCCCTGGCTTGATAATTTGGTGTCTGTTAAAAAAACGCAAAAAGACATTAAACGAAAGGTTCGCGATTCAAGAGAAAGATATTAGAGTTTCGTGTCATTGTGGCCTTCTAGCCTTCATATTGGTAGCGTGTCTAAAAAAACGCAAAACACATATTAAACGAGAGTTTCGCAGTCCGAGAGAATCATCATATCAGAGTTTTAGTTCTCGTGTCTTGTGTTGTCCTGATTCGTTAGTCATGTAGTCACATGGCTCGATTATTCTGTCTCCTTGTGGCCTTGTGGCCTTCATATTGGTAGCGTGTCTAAAAAAAAAAAAAAGCAAACACACATTGAAACAGAGATTCGCGGTCCAGAAGGAAGATATTAGAGTCTCAGTTGTCGTGAACCCCTGTTGTCCTGATTCGCTGGTCGCGGCGTTTTGGTGTTCAAATTTGCTGGTCGCGGCGTCCTCGTGCTCGAATTTGCTGTTTGTAGCATTTCGGTGCTCAAATTCGCTGTTTGCGGCGTTTCGGTGCCAAAATTTATTGCTTGCAGCGTTTCGGTGGTCGGATGCGCCGCCTGCTGCGTTTCGGTTCTGATGCTGTTTCCGCCGCCTCGGTGCTCAAATTTGCTGTTTGCGGCGTTTCGGTGCTGAAAAGTGCTGTTTATGGCGTTTCGGTGCTCAAATTTGCTCTTGCAGCGTTTCAGTGTTCGAATGTGCTGTTTGCGGCATTTCGGTGCTCAAATGTGTTCTTTGTGGCATTTTGGTACTCAAATTCGGAATTTCTAGCGTTTTGAAGCTTAAATTAGCTGTTTGCGGAGTTCGGTTGTCAAATTTGTTATTTGTTGCGTTTCCGTGCTCTAATGTGCTGTTTACTGCATTTCGATGCTGAAATCTGTTGATTGCGACGTTTCGGTGCTGATAGGTCCGTTTGCTGCGTTTCGGTGTGCGAAATTGTTGTTTGCGGCGCTTCGGTGTTCTAATGTGCCGTTTGCGGCGTTTTCGGTGTGCATTTTTTTGTTTTGTTGCGCGCCTCGCTGCTCTCATTTGCTGCTTGCTGCATTTCGGTTGTCAAATTTGCCGCCATCTGCGGCGTTTCCGTGCTCAAATTTGCCGTTTGCAGCGTTTCGGTGCTCACATTTGCTGTTTGCGGCGTTCCTGATGTCAAATTTGCCGTTTGCTCCGTTTCGGTGTTCATGCTGTTTACAGCGCTTCTGTGCTGAAATATGTTGTTTGCAACGTTTTGGTGTTCAAATTTGTTGTTTGCGGCGTTTTTGTGTTCGAATTGGTTGTTTGCGGATTTTCGGTTGTCATACTCGCTGTTTTTGGCGCTTGGGTATTCTAATATATTATTTTTTCAAATGATGTTTTATGCTATCATGTATTGATCTCTATAGCCCGGGGTTTCTGTAGATCCAGACCCAGACCGCGGGTTAAGAAAACGGGGTTTCCAGAGTCTGTTTTCTTAGGTTAAAGTTTTCTTAATTAAAATTCCCGTATGCATCGGCGATGCATTGGCGATGTGTCGCGATCCTTCGACCCCATCTACTCGGATCCTCTTTAGGAGGCCTCTACAGATGGTGATCTTTTTCTTATGCATTGTTTTGCTGATCGGCGCGGGCGCTCGCCAGAGCAGGTCGGGGGGGCCAGATGGTGAACATTTTCTGTTGCCTTGTTTTGCCGATCGGCGCGGACGCTCGCCGGAGCAGGACGGGCGGGCCAGGTGGCCGATCGTCTTCTGATGCCTTGTTCTGCCGATCGGCGCGGGCGCTCGCCGGAGCAGATCGGCGGGGCCAGGTGGTGATCGTTTTCTTATGTATGTTTTTGCCGATCGGCGCGGGCGCTCGCTGGAGCAGGTCGGGGGGGGCAAATGGTGATCGTTTTCTTATGCTTTCATTCGCCGATCGGCGCGGGCGCTCGCCAGAGCAGGTCGGGGGGGCCAGATGGCCGATCGTTTTCTTATTCATTGTTTTGCCGATCGGCGCGGGCCCTCGCACCCCCCCCTCCCCGCGACCGGGGCCGATCGCAACCACTTGGGGCCGATCGCAACCACCAAAGGCGGAATCCAACCGGTTGCGATCGGCCCGATGTGGTTGGGTTGTTTGGATTCGCTTACAAAGTGTTGTAATAGGCAGAGGCTCTCCAAGAGAGTTTCTGGAATGAGTGGGTTGCCTGAGGCTCACCGATGACATTCTGAAGAAGCGGTTGCGATCGGTCCGATCGCAGTCCGCGAGTAGTAATAGTAGTAGTAGTAGTAGTAGTAGTAGTAGTAGTAGTAGTAGTAGTAGTTGAAGAAGAAGAGAAGAAGTAATAGTAGTAGTAGTAGTAGTAGTAGTCGTCGTCGTCGTCGTCGTAGTCGTAGTATCAGTATCAGTAGTATGTTTATTTTTATCGGTAGTAGTAGTAGTAGTAGTAGTAGTAGTAAAAGTAGTAGTAGTAGTAGAAGCAGTAGTAGTAGTTGTAGTCGTAGTAGTAGTAGTAGTAGTAGTAGTAGTAGTAGTAGGAGTAGTAGTAGGAGTAGTCGTAGTAGTAGTAGTAGTAGTAGTGGTTGTAGTAGTAGTAGTAGTAGTAGTAGTCGTAGTCGTAGTCGTAGTAGTAGTCGTAGTAGTAGAAGTACTAGTAGTAGTAGTAGTAGTAGTAGTAGTAGACGTAGTCGTAGTAATGGTCGTATTGATACGATTGTTATTATTGTAACTACTGCTACTACCGTTAGTGCTGCTACTACTGCTACTACTTCTGCTGCCACTACCGCTACTATTGTTACTACGAGCAGTATGACTCTAACTAATACTAGAGTACCACTATTGTTTCTATTACAGCTGCTACTAAAACTGCTACTCACCACTACGACTGACACTACGACGACGAGCGCGACAACTACGAATAGCACAAGTAATAATACTAGCACAAAAAAACACCACGAACAAACCACCACGACCACGACCGCTACCAGTACCGCGATCTTCACTGCTACCACCACCACCACTACCAACACTACGACTACGACGACGACCTACTACTACTACTACTACTACTACTACTACTACGACTACGACTTCAACTGCTACTACGACTACTACTACTACCACTTGTATTACTACACCCACTATCACTACAACTAGTACCACCACAACAACCAACACCACCACTACTACTACAACTACTACTACTACTGTTCCTACGATGCCACTACTACTGCGACTGCTACTGCTACTTCTATTACTGTCGCTACTACGACTACGATTGCTACTGCTACTACGATTCATATTACTATTACTGCTATTTCTACGACAACTACGACAATTACCACCACCATTACTACTACGACTACCACGACCACGATTGATACTACTACGCCAAGTTTCACGACGACGACTACTACTAGTACTACTGACACTATTACTAGAAGTACTACGGGCACTAGGATTAGCATTTCTCAAGGACTGTTACTATTACTGCTCCTCCTTTTGCTACTGCTGCTACACCTGTACTGCGACTATATCGTACTCCGTCAGCTACCCCTACAGCTAGTATCCACATCTATTCTACATTTTCACCTACGACTCATATTATTCCCAACCATCCTGTGGTGTTGGGTCCTCGTTTTGAAGAGACAGTGCCCCGCGTTCCTTCCTCCTCCTCCCTCCTCCCTGGGGTGTTCGCATGCGGTTCCCCCACCCAGGGCAGCGTTTCGTGGCCCCATAGGGAGCTCCACCGAAGGCCCCAGTGGGGGTGTTCGCATGCGGTTCCCCCACCCAGGGCAGCGTTTCGTAGCCCCATAGGGAGCTCCACCGAAGGCCCCAGTGGGGGTGTTCGCATGCGGTTCCCCCACCCAGGGCAGCGTTTCGTGGCCCC